CATTTAACTATATAACGCAATAATGGTTCGCTCGCTTCCGTTCTGGAAATATCGATGTGAAAGATGCACCTCGCTCTGGTCGACCTATCATTGAAAAAGTCGATGAATTTATGGAAAACATTGACCAGGACCATCACATAAGCAGCCATGACATCGCTAAGGAACTTAACATTCATCATCAAACAGTTTTGAACCATTTAAAAAAGGCTGGCTACAAAATAACATGAATTGTCTGTGAAAAATCTTATGCACCGAATTAACATTTGCGATCTTTAGCTGAAACGTCGGATTTAGCTAACCCGAACGGACATGGATTTTTTATCCGATCAAGGAATGTCAATCGGTATAAGCAGCCCCATAGCGTTGCACATGCTTGTTGGACTTAAACTCCTCAAAACCATAATTTGAATTTCAATTTTTAAAGCCAATTCATGTGGTGACAGTCCAGAAGGGGTTATTAACTCCTGAGGATAATGACAATTATAATTTTTTTTATATCTCGGGGAACTTTTTTAATAATTAGATCGTTTATATCGTTGACACTATCATTCCTGAGTGACACTATTGCCCTGTTACACAACCAATGAAATTTCTTTTCGTGCAAATTCTCGATGTTAGGGTATACTGCATCTATTAAAATTTCAAAACTATGGACTATTTGGCTTGGAGACTCATCCAGAAGAATATTACAAATACTGCTTAAATTTGCAGTCGGAAAATGTCCTCCCCCAATCTAAGCAGTTGCTGTGGAAAATCACCACCAGTGATTCCATGAAGATTAGCTCTCATATTCATCCGTAATTTTATATTTTCAATCGAAGTCCATAAGGGCGGTGATATTAAGCATGCTTTGATGATATCTACTCGCATCCCTCTGTTAATGGCAGGAAGAGTCTGTCGGAAATCTCCAGCAAATACAAAAATTAYCCCAGCGATCAAAGCAAAGAATTTCTAAGGTCTTGTAATGTTCTGTTCACGRCCTCTTTATGCGCTTTATGGCTCACGGTGCATTCATCCCATATAATCAATGAAGCGTCTTGCAATAGTTAGCCAAGAGGCCCAATTTTGCGGATAAAACATATTGATTGTTGATAAAGATTTCTGAATT